CAGATAGCGAATTGGTTTTAGTCTTAAAATATTCCTCAATTTATGTGTTTTCAAAATATGCACAATGAGATTTCTTTGCTCATCCCCTTTGGCCGACCCAAACGTGAGCACCCCATACGTATAAAAATAAAGTACCAGTTAAAATATAGATAGCGAATTGGTTTTAGTCTTAAAATGTTCCTCAACTTATGTGTTTTCAAAATAAACAGAATAAGATTTTTGTTTTGGTTAATGTATTGATTAACTTGTTTAATAAGATTTCAGAAAAATTTTTATTTATATGTATTTGTATATGTATTTGTATACATTTTTAAAGTTATTTAATATGAGTTAGGAGTAAGTATTGCAAAGTTGCTAAATATTATGGAGAACGGGTCACTGAGATTCTGAACAATATATAAATACATATAAGTAAACATATGTTTAATTAATTTTTAACATTCCCTTTCTAATAATAGAAACAAAATGTAATTTTTAAAATTAGTTACTCTTTAGTAAACTTTAATTTGTATTTATATAGAATCTCTTGTGTATTGTTTTTCATGATAATATTACATGAATGATAGTACAGTTCACGCTACAATTGCGTGACTAATACTTGAAGGATATATTTGTTTTATGATGTATAAAAGAATATGGTAATAGAATATTTAGATATTACATATATAATTGTTTATTTAAAAAATTTGTATCAAAAAATTACATTAACAAAAAAAATTAATGTGATTTTTATGCTTTTAAAATCATTGTGCATATTTCGGGAGCACATAAATTGAGAAATATTTTAAGACTAAAACCAATTTGCTACCTGTATTTTAACTGGTTAGGTACTCTTGTACGTATGGGGTACTCACGTTCAGGTCGGTCGAAGGGGATAAGCACGAAAATTTCATTGTGCATATTTCGAGAACACATTAATCGAGAAACATTTTAAGACAAGAATTATTTCGCTTTCTCTATTTTAACTGATACTTTATTCTTATATCAGTAGTATATATATCTTTTTTTGCGTATATTTTTTAAACTATTACAGATAGACTAATTTTGTTTGAGGCATTTGAAAGCACATAAAAAGCATATAATTCTAGCATATTGAGTTTTTTATTTTATATGTAATTTTAATGAGTGGGGGTGCTAGCTTACTTTAAGCCAGCACCCTCAGTTTCAATTGCAATTTCCCACGAAACCGCTCGAGCACAAAAATCGTGAATAGAGCACATAATTAACGCATAAAGAACACTTAATTTCTGCATATGTGTTATTCCGGTTTTTTATGGAGGGTGCTAACTTAACAGACATAAATACATTATATTACTTTTTTACCTTTTAAGATTTTTTCCTTTGTTTACGGATGTTTGCAAATCTAAGCTATTCCATTATAGAGTGTTCCAAGTCTTTCTCTGTATTACAAGGGATTGTTGTCTAATAGCCTCTAAAACAAGAATTCAATATAGTTTAGATAAGAAAAAAGTTGCAATTTAATATATACATAATTTAATTATAATAAGCAGCTTTACTTACGACTTGTGTAAAAGCTTCTTGGTCATCTTTTAGCATTTCTAGTATCTTGTACAGAGTTTTCCTTATAATATATTGTTCACTGATGTTTATCTTAGCCAGGGTCAAATTTTTCAAATGGTGGTTTTTTGAATTTGATACAACAATTGATCCCATATGTTAAGACATATTCATTGCCCTGTACATATAAAATATGCTTACAATAATCTATTTATATACTTTAGAGTGTGATTATAGCACATATATGTGAAAAAAATATAGAAATAAATAAAAAGTCAGTTTTGGTCTTGTTTGTACTGATCGTTTGTTACATATCTATCAACTTTATACCAATTTTATACTAAATTACTTTTACAGTGATATATGCAAACAATGATGTATTAAAGCCGCACAATACATCAACAAATCGTCTTCATACATAGTGTACCAGCTTATTTATACGTTATCATTTACATATTTTGCTAAATTTTGAGGTTATTTTATAGGAAGTTACACTGTTTGGTACCATTGAAATAATAGCATTGACGAACCTTGATGATATTTTTAATGTCCAAGGACAAATCTATTATAGAACGTAAAAAAATTAATTGATATTTCCATCTCTTTTGTAAATCTCTCTTGTAAATCGGAAAATGAATCCTACATCACCAGCTACTATTCATAGCAAAAATAATTATAGCACGTATATGGTTAATTGAATTCTTATCATTAATATACAACTTTTAGAATATAATAGTTACTACTTATATATAATTATGCTGTAAATAAAGAGCACTCCGCACTCCTCGATTGACACACGTGTATACGCACTCACGCATCGTATGTAGGATAATCATGTACATCATGGCTGTCGCGATGAGCGTTGCGCACAATATAAAACGATAACATTATAACAACAGAAAATTAATATACTACCAACGTTATTTCTGAGTCCAAATTACAAGGAATTTTGAACTGTTGCATTGATCTCAAATAAATGTCAGAGTAACATTTGAAAAATATTTTCTGTAACGTTTTCAAAATATTTTAACAACATTCAGAAAAATCATATTACGAAATAATATTTTTCAAATATGTGTATAATATTATTAAAAAACGTTTAAAAAATACACATAAAGTCAATATTTCTAAACGTTAATTTAATGTTCCTTGCTTACTGGGATGTATAGCATGTTTATTTTCTGTCTCCCTCGACGAAATCACGTGTGCGCGACGTGCATTTTTTCGTGACGATAGGCTCGCGAATGTTCGGTCGCGCTCGGCATCAATCGCCTATTCGCGCGCGCTGCGTGCCGGTCCGTTCCTGTTTCCCTCCGCGCGCCTCGCCCCCTCAGATAGCTCTGCGAGACTCAAGGCGTAACATCGCGGAGAGTCCAAAATATTTTTTGTGTGTGCGTTATTCAAGCATACTCGTTTCTACGATTGTATCAGCGGAATCGGCTGACTGCGGCTTTTTGTTCATTAAATAAAGTGAGAGGAAAAAACAGTTTTCTCGACCACGTTCTTACGAAGCAATCTTTCCGTGAGACGCACGTGGGGGGCATGCGCCCGCATTCTACAAACTTTAGTCCTTCGAGCCGGATATACAAGATATCCACAGCCTCAGGTTATCACGAGCCGACGAACTTCCGCAGCGTCATTGCAAGGACGCAGTTCAGTAACGCAGAGCAACAAGATCGTCGCACAGCCAAGCGACCATACTCGTTTCCGGGCACCGAGATCGTCGCACAGCCAAGCGGCCATACTCGTTTCCGAGACAAAGATTTCCGTCAAGAAGGCAACTCAGGGAAATCCAATCGACATCGGGAGGTGCAGATTACGAGTTCAGAGACTTGACGTACGACATCGAGAGGTGCAGAGACCCTGTCGAAGAGGTCAGCAGCCGACACCGGGAGTTGCAGCGACCGAGCGGACGGCTTCTTTCGACACATCCGCCTCACGAGGGAGGCCTTTTTCGAGAACGCCACACCTAGTATATTTGCGTGCGCGCGTCAATAAGGTAAGGGCAACTTTTCAGTGTTGCGTGCCAATCAGATCTTTTTTTTCTGTCGCGTAAATAGAGTTCCCTTCCCCCGCGAAATGGCTACCGAGGAAGCAAGTGCCGTGTTGAAAAAGCAGCGCGCCGTAATCAAAGGTTCTTGCACCAGAATAAGAACGTACGTGGATTCGATAGCTGCTATCAATCCCTCAATAATCGCTCAGCTAGAGGAGCGTAAATTAAAGTTAGACCAATATTGACCGGAATACAATTCCGTACAATCACGATTGGAAATGTTAGAGGAAGCCGAAGCCAACGATCGCGCCGCGTTCGAGGACGCTTTCTATGCATTAGCCGCCAAAATTCGAGAGGCATTAAATCCTTCGCGACCGCCGCGCAGTGCCACTGCATCGCCTGCGTCGGTATCAAGTTACCACGAGAATTCGAATACTTTAACTAACGTACGTTTACCAAAACTGGATCTCCCTACTTTCACAGGAAAATACGACGAATGGTTCCCGTTCTTCGATACATTCCAATCGGTCACATTCTAACGCGTCTCTCAGCAATATACAGAGGTTTCAATATCTAAGAGCCTCTATTACGGGTGACGCGAGTGACGTGATCCATTCACTCAAAATTTCAGAAACTAATTACGAAGTCGCGTGGACGTTGCTTAAACAGCGATAGGATAACAAGCGCGTAATCGTTCAAAAGCATATTCAAGCAATAATGGAATTGCCTTCCATGACAAAAGAAAATTGTATCGAGTTGAGACAAATCGCGGACGGTGACACAAAGCACTTGCATGCCCTTCAAGCCTTGAGGCGTCCAACCGCTCATTGGGACGACCTCCTAGTGCACATTCTAAGTGCAAAGATCGATTCGCTTTCCCTACGCGAATGGCAATCATCTTTCACGGGTACCGAGGTACCTTCGCTAAAACAATTTTTCGATTTCATTACGCATCGATGCCAGATGCTTGAAGCGACAAACAAGTCGAACGCCGCGAATTCAAAGGCGACTGATGCGCAGTCAAGCAGCAAGCGTCAGTCGTCACACGTTTCAACGGTCAAAACGAAATGTATTTATTGTCAAGGAGAGCACTCCATTTACTATTGCAAGGACTTTTTAGCGCTTTCGATCCCGCGAAGAATTTCAGAAGTTCGTAGTCGCCACATTTGCTTCAATTGCTTGCGAACTACTACACATAATGCTAGTAACTGTACATCGGGCTGTTGTAAAGTGTGTCGAGCCAAACACAATACGTTACTTCATGCACCGAGTAAATCCACCGAACTGGCCGACGGGGCGAAGAGCGGTGACGAGTCAAAATCGAATAGCGCCCCCGCCGTTCTGGTAACACATGCTTCAAGGCCGATCGACGGCAGCCATATCATATTATCGACAGCGGTAGTTTAAGCGTACGATAACAAAGGGTCGCGGCATTCCTGTCGAGTGTTATTAGATTGCGAGTCACAAGCGCATTTTATTTCCAAGTTTCTAACTGTTCTCGGGTTAAAACCGCGAGATCTAAACGTATCAATAACCGGCATGAGCGGTACTTCCACGACATCCACTCAAGCAGTTCAAGTTAAATTGCAATCTCGTCAAGATTCATACGCGGCTACCATTGAATGTATCGTCACGGAACGCGTTACAGATAAGCTTCCGGCTTTCACGTTGAAACGGAGCGATTTCGAATTTCCACACAATATCAATTTAGCAGATTCTCAATTTCATGTGTCTTCCGAGATCGACATATTGATCGGAGCGGGACTATTTTGGGATCTGTTGTGCGTAGGTCAGATCCAGGCTTCACATAATCGCCCGTTGTTACAAAAAACGCGATTATAGGATGGATCCTAGCGGGGCTCCTGGGCGATCACTTACAATCGTCATTAAAGTTACACGCTTGCCACGCGTCATTAACTAATATTCAATTGCACGAACAATTGAGCCGATTTTGGCGGCTGGATGATCCCGATGGATCCTCAAACAATTACATCCTGGAAGAAAGGATGTGCAAACAACTTTCTCGAGTAATGTGTCTCAAACCCCCCAAGGTAGATACGTAGTCAAACTTCCTATAAAGAAGCACATTATCAATAAAATCGGGGATTCGCGGACTATCGCGTTGTCAAGGTTAAAGAGTCTCGAAAGAAGATTCCAACGCGATCCCGAACTAAAGGTTCAATATTCGCAATTTATCAATGAATACTTAGCGCTAGGTCACATGTGTCGTATAGATCCTCCAAGCGATGAGGATTCGGTATCATTTTATTTACCTCATAATTGCGTATTCAAAGCTACGAGTCAAGGAATGAAAATCCGAGTTGTATTTAACGCAAGTTCTCCGAGTAGTACGGGTGTTTCTCTGAACGATGCTCTAATGGTAGGACTTGTCTTTCAATCCGATCTAGCATCCGTGCTGCTACGATTTCGTATTTTTATCTACGTCTTTAGCGCGGACATAATAAAGATGTATCGCCAGATACTGGTACATCCTTTGCAGACTTGCCTACAACGCATCCTTTGGCGAAAGAATCCCACGAATATCGTTCTTGTTTACGAAATGCTTACCGTCACATACGGTACAGCCTCAGCTGCTTCATTGGCAACCGGGTGCGTAGATGATTTAACAGAACGAAATGCCGTTAATTTTCCTATCGGGGCGAAACATATCAAACGCGGTTGTTATATCGATTACGTGCTCACAGGAGCGGATACCTTGCAAGAAGCGATCAAGTCATACAACTATTGCGACTAGGTTGCTTTGAGCTTAGCAAATGGGCCTCCAATTGCCCAGAATTAATCAAGCCGGTTGATAATCAAAATAGCGAATCAGTAACGATCAACGGCGACATGGATACGTCTATTCTGGAAATTCAATGGAATCAGTCTAAGGATACGTTTAGTTTTTCATATACACCTGATCCTTCTCATAACGTTATAACCAAGCGTACAATACTTTCAGAGGTCTCTAGGCTATTCGACCCTCTAGGTTTGCTAGGTCCGATCGTAGTTATTGCAAAGCTCATCATTCAGGATCTTTGGCAATCGGGCGTCCATTGGGACGAATCCGTTCCTCAAAACATTCACACTCGTTGGTGTACCCTCAGGTCACAGTTGCCGGCGGTAGATCAGTTGCAAATACCGCGAGGTGTAAAATCTAATACAAGTCAATTAATACAATTACATGGGTTTTGCGACGCCAGTGAACGTGCTTACGGGGCTTGCGTGTACTTTCGTACCAAGGTGGGTCACAATGCGTACCGTTCCGAATTGTTGTGCTCAAAATCTAGAGTCGCGCCCCTTAAAGCCGTAACTCTCGCTCGACTGGAGTTATCTGCAGCATTACTGTTAGCGGAATTGATGGACAAAACTAGCAAAACTTTAGAGTTAATGGACATTCAAAGGTTCTACTGGTCAGATGCCTCCATTGTATTAAATTGGATATCGTCACAGTCTCGCAGATGGTCGGTATTCGTATCGAATAGAGTCGGGGAGATCCAACGTCTTACCGAAATCAGTGATTGGCATCACGTCACTTCTGCGAACAATCCCGCCGACATTTTGTCGCGTGGACTAAATCCTTATAAATTAGCCAATTCATCCATGTGGTGGCATGGACCTAGCTTTCTTCAATTAAACGACAACGACTGGCCGAGTAGTAGCTTCGTTCGTTTACAAAGAGGACCTTCCCGAGCAAAGGAAGGTTGTTACCAATGCCGCCACTGTGGATGAGTGTCTTGTTACTAAACTATTGTCCGAATGCTCAAGTCTAAACAAAATATGTCGTATAATAGCCTACTGTTTGAGGTTCTGTAGAGCACACCGTTCAAGTACGCCGACCAAAATCATGACTCCCTCTGAAATTGCTTCAACTTTACGTCTTATGTGCAAGGTCGTGCAGAAACAAGCGTTCTCCAGTGAATACAAAGCTTTGAGCCAGGGAAAACCTATTAGCACCTCGAGCGGCCTGCTATCATTATCTCCTTACATGGACGAGACCGGGGTAATGCGAGTAGGCGGTAGGGTAGGTTGAAAAATTCGAATTTACCAATTGACGCGTGTCACCCCATACTGTTACCTCGTAGCCACGATCTAACTTGACACGTAATAAAGTACGAGCATGTCCGTAACATGCACACAGGAGCCCAATAAGCCACTATGGCGGCTATGCGACAACGATTTTGGCCTTTAGCTTTGCGATCTACCGTACGAAGGGTCATTCAAAAATGCGTAACGTGCTTTAAGTCTAAACCGCTTCAATCGCAAGCTATGATGGGTTCGTTACCCGCGAGTCGAGTCACAGTGTTTCGAGACCATTTTCTCGCGCTGGGATAGATTATGCCGGCCCAGTAATATTACGCGAAGGTAAAAGGCGCAACGCTCGCAATCATAAAGCATATATAGCAATTTTTGTTTGTTTTGCCACTAAAGCGGTCCATATTGAGTTAGTTAGCGACTTAACTTCAGACGCGTTTCTTGCCGCGTTTAAACGTTTTATATCGCGTAGAAGCAAACCGTCTCATATGTATTCGGACAATGGGACCACTTTCGTCGGCGCTCAGAAGCAACTTAAAGAGCTGTACGATTTTTATCTTAAACAGACGAATATGTCTCAGATCGAACAATTTTGTTCCAAACAAGAAATTTCGTGGAACTTCATTCCCCCCTAACGCTCCTCACTTCGGCGGATTGTGGGAAGCGGCAGTAAAATCCGCAAAATTTTACATGACACGAATCGTTGGCAAGGCTCACTTGACCTTCGAAGAATTACAAACCGTGCTCTGCGAAATTGAGGCGATCTTTAACTCACGCCCCCTTACTCAGCTGAGCTCGGATCCGAACAATCTGAATTATCTTACCCCAGGTCATTTTTTGATTGGCACCGCACTGAACAGTTTTCCTTGTAGCGATTTGAGCGACGTGAATGAAAACCGACTCGTGCGATGGCAACGTGTAGAGCAGATCCGACAACACTTTTGGCGCAGGTGGAGCGATGAGTATTTCCACTCTTTACAGGAGCGATCCAAATGGCGAAGTAATACGGGTATTCAACTCGACCCCAATCAGCTCGTGCTGATAAAGCAGCAAAATTTAGCGCCACTTCAGTGGACCCTAGGTCGCGTTCAGGAGGTACTTCCTGGTTCGGATAACATTGCCAGAACTGCTACCATTAAAACCTCCAAGAGTTCGTTTGTCAGACCGTTGTCTAAGCTCGCGATCTTATCGATAGACCCACCCTCAATAGCCGTCTAATTATTATTTAGCGCTAACTTTAGTCAGTAAGTCATTGTATTTATTGCGAATTATCTATGTAACTAGCTTTAAGTTTCATTCAATATTTTTTGTCAAAATTTTTGCGATCTTATCCATTTAACAAGCGATACTTGAATAAGATTGCATGACTCTTCTCATTAGTGAGTACTTCGGGTTTTTTTCTTTGAAAGTTTGTCCTTTCAAGGGGGGCGGCGTTGTTTGGTATACTAAATGTATAGCATGTTTATTTTCTGTCTCCCTCGACAAAATCACGTGTGCGCGACGTGCATTTTTTCGTGACGATCGGCTCGCGAATGTTCGGTCGCGCTCGACATCAATCGCCTATTCGCGCGCGCTGCGTGCCGGTCCGTTCCTGTTTCCCTCCGCGCGCCTCGCCCCCTCAGATAGCTCTGCGAGACTCAAGGCGTAACATTGCGGAGAGTCCAAAATATTTTTTGTGTGTGCGTTATTCAAGCATACTCGTTTCTACGATTGTATCAGCAGAATCGGCTGACTGCGGCTTTTTGTTCATTAAATAAAGTGAGACGAAAAAACAGTTTTCTTGACCACGTTCTTACGAAGCAATCTTTCCGTGAGACACACGTGGGGGGCATGCGCCCGCATTCTACAGACTTACTTATTTGAACACCGTCAGTGTTAAACATTAGTATCACAGTACACTGATCATTAATATGAACTCGTTTATACTCACTACTATTACAAATGTCTTTAATATTTCTTGAAGGACAAGTTTGTATCGTACTTTTATATTCATCTATTACACGTCCCAAATTACGGTGTTCAAAGAGAAATTTAATTTGTTTCTCTACATTAAACTCATAAAAATATTTACGCTCAGCACACTCACAAACTTCACAATTTTCTTCCATTCTTAAGAACAAATGACACTTTGAACAATAAGGATACGCTGTTTCAGTAAGGGATAGAGCTAGACTTGTAACAAATTTAAGAAGTAAATGCACTAATTTTGGCATATGGTTTGGCTTTGGTATGTGTTTAAAAAATGTGTGTAAATGGTTTTCTAAGCTTTTCTTGGTTTCATTATTATTAAAATTATCCCGAATAATGTCAAGTATATCCTCATGTACAGTACTATTGCTGCCGTCATACAAAAATAGAGACTCATCAGGTTG